GATCCCGTTGCCGGTCCCCGGTCCGGTACGGGGGCAACACTGAGGGTTGCGATCCGTTGCCGGACACGGAAAAAAGACAAAAGACAAAAAAAAAAAAAAGAAAGGGCTGCCTTGAGATGTAATGCCTTCCCTATGCCTGTTGCTAGGGGGGAAAGCCTAAATATTTGTCACTGACTCCTGTAGATTAAGCATTAATTCTTTAATTGCTGGATGGTGGGGAGCTCTAGAGCTCCTGATGGAAGGTTTGGGGTAGCCAGGATGGTGGAGGATTACTCAGGGATTGGGCAGCAGCTGGATACCAGCCCATCCGGAAGAATGTTCATGTTTTACCATTTAGTGTGGTTGCACTGGTGTGTGCTGGTAAATCTCAGTCCTGTTGGAGCCACAATGTCCTGGGTGTCAGTCAAGCCAGCCCCGTTCCTTGGGCATCCCTAGGACCCCTTTCTGGCTGGCCTCTGCTATCCAGGCCTTGGCTCCCTTTATGGCAGCCCAGTGGCCCCAGACAGCTGGTGCAGACAGAGCTCTGCAAACCCGTGTCTGATTAATGACATGTCGGCTCCAGTGAAATCACGAGTGAGCAGCAATTCCAGACAATTAATTAGAAGGCCCAGGAGAAGGACTGTCACGGGGGGTGGTCACTCTCTGTCACTTGCTCAGTCCTTCTCAGGACCCAACCTTCTGCCAGGCAGTGGGCACACTGAAAGGGATGAGACTGTGCCTCTTGGGGCTCCCACTCTGGTGGAAGAGACAAATGTGCAGGCCACAGTGACCAGCTCAGTGACAGGGGTATAAAGGTGACATGTGGGAGCCCAGGGGACTGAGGGGCAGGGAAGACCTGAGAAAGTGGTGGATGAATAATGACTGTAGTGCAAACTGCTGTTTATTGACGGCTTGCTCTAGCCAGACACTCTTCCAACTGTTCTGCATATGTAATCTCCTCTAGACTATCCTAATGATGGAGACAAAATTACCCCCATTTGACAGATGAGGAAACTGAGGCTCACGGAGGTTAAGTACTTTTCTGAGGCCACAGCAAGTGAGTAGCAGAACTAGGATGCCAATATAGGTCCACCCTACTTCACCGCCCCTGCTGCTCATCACACCACCCTGCCCAAACATCCATCTGGCAGCTAAGATTCAAATCCGCTCTCTGCCATCAGTTCCCTTTTGGAGCCTCGGTTTAATAGCTAGAAAATGGGGATCACAATACCTGCTTTTCAGGTCTGTTGTGAGGTTCAGAAATAATGCATGTAAAGTATCTGGCACATAGTGGTGACTGATAAGTGGTACTAGTATTATTATTTCAGGCAGAGACTGCAAATGCTGGGGCAATCTGAAAGGCCCAAGGGTGTTTGGTTGTGGCAGAATCACTCCACCAGGAGAGGCCTGATGGTGGAGAGGTCAGCAGTGGGCAGATGGTGAAGTGGCTTGAATGCTTAAGGGCCAGGCGGGTTGGACTTGGTACAGAGGACAGTGGGGGATGCCAGTGGGTTTTAGACAGGAGAGTCCCTGCCAGGTACTGTACTAGGCTCTGGGGATATGGGCACTAACTAGATGGCCATGGTCCTTATCTGTGTTGTGGGGACTAGGAATAGTCCTACAAAGACATATTTATTTCCAGAGAGATGTCCTCAAAGGAAAAGTTCAGGAGGCTCTGGGCTGTCCTATGTGCCCTGACTCAGCATGGGTCAGAAAAGGCCTCGCTAGGAAAGCAAGAAATCCTGTAATCTGAGCCCCAAGGAGGAGTGGGAGGCAGCAGCAGGAGCGTGGGGCAGCATCCAGAAGGAGCTGGGTGCCCAGCGGGCCTAGAGGGAGGCCTGTGTGTGACGGGAGGGAGGGGGCGGTGTGCTGGGCTGAGGACGTGGTCGTGGAGATCTGTGTTTGGAAAGAGCTTTCAGAGGCAGCGTGGGGGACACACTCGAGGGAAACAGGCAGGAAGAGACCAGCGCAGAGGCTGAAGCTGGATCTGAGGCAGGGGGAGTTTATGGTATGGGAGAAGAAGGGAGGCTTCTTGGAAGAGGTGTCGGTCGTGAAAAGCTGGAAGATTGAGGCGACCGGTCCGTTCGTTGAGCTCCGGGGCACTGGGACCCACTCCATCCCATAGGCCAAACCTTACGTGCTCTGTAGCGCAAAAACCCTCCTTCGCGTCGGGAGCTCCTGCACGAGGCGCCTGCCGCCCTCGGCCCAGCAGAGCCCAGCCTGTCAGTGCCGGGGCAGGTGCTCATTTGCAATCATTTGCATAACATTCCCCGCCCCACCCCGGGCCATTGTCTCCGGCCCTCCAGCCCTCGACGCGGCCCTGCGCCCCCTGCTGGCGTCAGACGGCACCGCAGCCCAGAGCCACCCCTAGGCCCGACGCCCCTGTCGGTCACTCAGCGCGGGGCGCCTGGGGCCCCGGTGTTTGCTGAGAAGCAGCGCTAACCCGGTACTTACCCCCGAACCTGCGCCCCAGGCTCCAGCTCCTAAACCTGGCGTTCTAGGCCCTTCGCCATCTGGCCCCGATATCCTCCAACATCTCTCCTGACCCCTCTGGACCCCCAAACTTTCGGCGCCCGCTCGGAGCTTTCACGCTGCGGTGCCTTTGTTCACCCAGCTCCCGCCGCCAGCAATTCCTTTCCCACCTAGTCCTCCAAGGGAACTCGGTCACGGCTCGCCTGGGAAGCCTTCCCAGACCCTCCTTCCTGAACCCCCGGCCCCCGCCGCCCCTGGCCCGGCAAGCATCAGCGCGCCTTGGTGCGCTTCTGCGCCTCGGGGGCGGGGGTCAGGCAGGGTTCTCTCTCTCCCTGACCTCCCCTCCCGCCCCCCAGGCCATTTACAAGATGGTTTCGTCCGTGATGAAGATGCCGGAGGACGAGTCGACCCCGGAAAAGAGGACTGAGAAAATCTTCCGCCAAATGGACACAAACAACGACGGTGAGAGGGCAGGGGCGGGACGGTGAGAGGGCAGGGGCGGGACGGGGCGGGACGGGGCGGGCGCCACTTCCTCCTCCCCACTCCCTCCTCCTCTCTCCCGCGCGGCCCCATCACATCACAGCTCCCCTCGTCCCGTCCCATCCCGCAGGCAAGCTGTCCTTGGAGGAGTTCATCCGCGGGGCCAAAAGCGACCCGTCCATCGTGCGCCTGCTGCAGTGCGACCCCAGCAGCGCCTCCCAGTTCTGAGCGAGAGGAGCCAGGTCCCCCCTCCTCCCTGCCTTCACCGGCCCCCTCCCGGCTCGGTTTCCTCTCCTTTTGTCTACCCAGGCTGGGGGCCAGACTGGGGAACATCCCCTCCCGGGTCTGCATTGGGGGGGCCTCTGGAGAAGGGAACCCTGCAGTCCCCCCAGGCCCAAATAAGCGATTAGCACCCTACAATCCAAGAGGCAGTATCTTCCTTCAGCAGTGATAGAGACACAGGCTGGCTTGGTCTGCCCTTACCTAGATTCCGAACTCGACCGTGTTGCCCCCCCAGCCAGGAGGCCAGGCCCCTCCCCCAGCCACGGGGCAGGCTCCCCCTCTTGTAGGTCTCAGCCTGGGTGGAGGGGGGAGTCATGCCCAGGTGAGGAGCCTGTCTGTTATTTGGAGAGGAGAGCAGGATTCCAGGGGTGCGGGGTTTGAGGGAGAAGCTTCTTTGAGCCATCCTTCCCTGCAGGAGGGCCTCCTCCCTTCCTGCCCAGCTCTTGCTGGCCTGGAGGCCATGATACCAACCAACACCTCCCAAGATCCCAGCCTACCAGCTGTGGGTCCCATGAAGCCCCACCTGCCTATTGGCACTTGGATGAACACAGCCAGCCACACACAGACCCACGGACCCCTCTGGATTTTGCCTCTCTTTCTCATACACGTAGGCCCATGGACAGATGGACAGATGCACCTAGAGTCGCATCCACAGTGTCCTGTGCAGGAAAGAAACACAGGCCCCCTGGCCGAGCCCCTGTCCTCCCCTGCATGCAGCCACATGGAGCATCTCTGTTCTTTTTAATAACTTGAAAATAAAGTCTCGTTTCAGTGCAGTGGGCTGGGTGGCGGGGGAGGCAGGGGGTCCATTGAGCCCTCTTGGGCCTGCTTCAGGAATCCTGTCCTGGCGACAGTGTACACTTGGTTGCAGGGCCCCAGTGGCCATGGGGCCTGGGTGAGGCATCAGTTCTCAGAGGGTCAGCGGCTCCGAGCTGGCGCAACTCAGCTGGTCATGACCCTCCATGGGCTCAGGGCTGTCCAGCATCTGTGGAGACACAGGAGCCTGCCAGGTCCACTGGGTCTGGGCCTGGGTCCTCTCTTCCAGGTCACCCAGGGAATGGGAGGTGGGGAGGGCCGAGAGTATCTCTAGGGGCAAAGGGGCACCACTACCCTCTCCCCCATGCAGGAGCCAGACCAGACCATTGGAGGGCCCCACTTTGAGCCCAGACATCCCTCCATCTCCCTCAAGACTCATCCTGGGCCCTGAGAGAGCAAGGTTTCAGCTGTGTGGCTTAGCTGGGAGATCTGGCCTCCCTGAGCCTCCAAGCCTCTCCCTTTTGTCCTGGGGAGAAAACTCTTATCCCACTTCTCAAGGTGGGGGTCCCGTATAGAGAGGTGAGGCAGACCAGACCAGGGCTCCCAAGAAACCATGGGGAGTCAGGGCTGTGGAGGGGACTTACTGTGTGATGGCAGCTTTTCCCCCACCAGGGTCTCAGTTCCAGCAGCTTGTGGGCGAGCTGGGTGCCACGCACAGCAAACATGCTCTCTGATACACAGAACATGAGCGAGATGCCCCAGAGGCACAGGCTTGAGCTCTGTGGGGGGCACAAGGGCCAGAGATGGCTGCTGGGGTTTGGGAGTGGAGGATGGGACTCCAAGAACCCTTCCCACCCCTGTCGAGCGCCTGGGTGCCCCCATCGCAGGCCTAGGCACTCACGTAAATGCGTGTGGGGTCGAAGGGACAGTCAGGCGTGAGTACTGGTTGTTCAGGGTTCCCAAAAGTGCAGGTGGCCAGCAGTGCCCGGCCTTGGGTGGCAAAGGTCACAACGATGGAGGCAAAGAGGCCAAGGGCACAGGTCAGAGAGAGAAGAGCACAGGCCACGTTCGAGCTAAACACTGTCCAGCGCTGGATGGGGAGGCCAGTGGTCAATGGATGCCAGGCTTGGCCCCCCTGGGCAGCTCTGGCCTCCCTCAGGGTCAGCCTCACCACCTCTGAGCAGGCCAGGCCTGTGGGGGTGGCTGCTGTCCCTGCCCTAACTCCCTCCTGGGATGGGGAGGTGCCACATACCAGGGGAGTGCTGGGGAGGTAGCGGGACAACATGATGTCTGCAATGCCTGAGGCGATGACCTGTGGAGGAGGTTCAAGTCAGCTCTGAGCCCCCGATGGAGGAAAGGGCAGGGGGTCAGAGCCACTCTTGGATAAACATTCCACCAATGCCACCCCTAGCCCTTCAACCCCCTGCCGTTCACCCCCTGCTTAGCTTTGGCCTCATTACTTCCATCTACTTGGAGGCACTGCCTCCTCATGGTCCATCCCTGGAGTAATGTTTCTAAAACACAACCACTCCCTGCCTACAACTGTCCATGACTCCCCACTGCCTACAGCTGTAAGTCTCAAACAGGGAGTGACCTGTGTATCCTGGGGCCGCAGGGACACGCTAGGGGGTGTGCTAAGCCATAAGATACCTGGGACATATCTTCCTGGAATGGAAAAGGTTTTGGAAGAAACTAAGTAACTCAATGGGCAAGGAAAACAAACTTGGATACTTAATGGAGTCGAAGTCAAAATTCCTAGGTAGGAACATTTGAAATTACTCCAGGCTGTCACTCACCTGCCCCAACCCCATCAGCTTCTCTCCCCCTGGGGCCACTCTTCTCCCTCCCTTCCCTGGATCTGGACACCCTCACGCAGCCTGCTCACAGTGCCACCCACACAGCACCCTCTCACAGTGCCACCCACACAGCACCCTCTCACCAGGAGCACCCTTCCTGCTCCTCTTTACCTGTGCAGTTGCTTCCAGCCCTGCTCAGGTTCTTCCTCGTGCAGGCTTCCTAACCACTCTTGGTCCCAAGAGGTGGGACCACCCACTGTTTAGCCCACCAGCTCCCCTCTGGATCTTTCGGGCTTTGTTCAGCCAGTCCTCCTCTGTATGTCCCCTCACTGTACCAGGCATGGGCTGGACCCATGGGAAGCAGAGGGTATGATGGGGGTCCTGGGTTTCAGGCCTAGCAACGTCTTTAATTCACTGTGCAGCCACGACCAAGTGCCTCAGCCTCTCTAGGCCAAGCCCCGCTCTGCAGGATGAACTCATAGAAAGGACACCAGCTTTGGTGTCAGACACAAATAGGCTCAAATCCAGTTTGGCTTCTTTGTATCAGCAGGAGGTTGGGTGAATCCTTGAGTCTTGGTTTTCTCCTCTGTAAAATGGGGATGATAATGGCCCCGGGTTGCTGGGAGCAGTGAGGATTAACTGAGGAAAGGAGGGCAGAGCTGAAGCAGTCCAGCCGGAGCCCATCCCTGGCAGACCTCCTAGCCCTGAGCAGTGCCCCCCAGTAATGCCTTTCCTGCCCTCCTCACAAGGCTGGTGAGAGGGACAAGCAATAACAGTAACAGTAACTCCAAGCACCCTGCACGCATCTGCACAGCCCTCTCCCACTGGGGTCTACGATCCCCGTTCACCCAAACCTTGAGGCCAGCAGGCTGTCTGAGCTTCATTTTGCAGGGGAGGGAACAAACTTAAGAGAGAGAAATGTCCCTTAGCCCGGAGGTGGCAGGGATGGAACCCCGACACTGATGTACAGATGTTCCCCAAAGGCTGAGGCCGCTTCTGCTGACAGGTGGCAAAGGGCTTTATAAACTTGAGAAAACCAGGCCCCTTCACTCCCATACTAAACAAACAGGTACTGACATCCAGTCCTAACCACAGCTACCATTTATTGAGCATTTACTTTGGACCAGTCCTAATGCCAAGCTCCTGCCAAATTGGTTCTCTCAGTGTCTCCAGGACAGATCTTAGCCACTGACATCTCTACACCTTTGCATCTGCCATTCTCTGTTCTTGGGGTGCCATCCCAGCTGCCTTTCCTCCCTGCTAGCCCCAGCACGCCGCATACCTGCGTTATGGTAATTGCAGCCGATCGGTGAGCTCCTACCCCTCCATCAGTACCCAGCTCAGAGGATTCCCCCTCTTTCACCCTCCCAGACCCTCCCAAGCTGACCTGATAGTTCTTCCTTCTGTCCAGTGATGCTTTGGATGTTTCTCTATTGTAACAGTAATCTTAGCCCACAGCAGCGAACACTAACCACATGCCAAGCACTGTGCTAAGCACTCCACATGGGTGATCTCATTCCATACTCGCCAGGGCCCTCTGAGGTGAGCACCGCTACCATTCCCATTTTACAGATGATGAAGCTGAAGCAAAGAGGTTGAGTGGGGCCGGCCCGGTGGCGCACTGCTACAGTGCGCCGCTTGGGAAGCGCGGTGGCGCTCCCGCCGAGGGTTCGGATCCCGCATACAGACCGGTTCCCGCTCACTGGCTGAGCGAGGTGTGGGAGCAACACCGAGGGCTGTGATCCCGTTGCCAGTCCCGGTCCGGTACGGGCGCGACACTGAGGGTTGC